TGTGGAGTTTTGGCTCCTGCATGCTGCTGCCGAACTGCCGAAATCGTGCCGAACTGTCGCAGTTTTATGACGAAAATTGCTTCATTTCTGTTCGCATCGTCTGCATTTTGGCACTTCTTGTCGCAACCCGCGGGTCGGGTCGAACTTTTCACCTCCCTCCACATGAGAACACATACGAACTGTGTGGTGTGATTGGTCAGAAGTTCCTGGGAGTTTTGTTTGTGCTGAAGGCGGTCAGACGCTGCATTTGCTTCAACCACTCACTTCAAAAAAAGGAAAAAAGGGGAGAAAAAAAGCTATCACTTCCACAGCTGACTGTTGTACCAGGAAGCAGCGATTTAAAGATAGTCAATGGCCAAAAACTCATAAAAGGGGATAAAAAAGACATTTTTCACGGTGGAATCTGACTGATAAAAACTTTGGAGCTTAATCTGGGACCAGTTTGTGGATAAACGAGTCGAGTGAAGAGCCGTGGACTTTTGTTTTTCGCATTGGACGCCCCGGGAAGGAATCCCATGCAGTGACGTATGCTGGAGTGGGAAGGGTTGTGTCTGTGTATCCTCACCAGCCGAGGATATCCCAGGATTCAATGCGCGGGCAGCAAAATAAACAGAGAAATGAAGACGGTGTAGTTTTTATTTTTCTAATGAGTCGGCACATTTTGGAAATTCACCACGGACTGAAGGACTTGTTTTTAAAAAAGTAAGTTTAGCAACTTAGCTGATGAAATTTATGCTGCAATAATATGTTAAATAAAAGAAAATGCAACTACAAGTTACGAGAATAATGTCATAATATTTCAACATTAAAGTCGTATAAAAGTCATAATATTATGAGAATAAAGTCATAATATTATGAGAATAAAATCGCAATATTACAAGATTAGTCATACTACGAGAAAAAAGTCATAATATTCTAGCCTTTACATGAAAAAGAATGCAGTTAGCACTGCATTAAAATGAACCTCTTGTCAAGTTGTTGTTGTTTTTTTGTATTGCTATAAATAAATAGTTGATATTTTAGCACATTTGCATCAGATTATCAGTAGCAGGACATGGAAATTGTGCAAACGACTATATGATAAACTGAAGCTCTATTGTAATTAATGGATGCATGACGTATTTAGTCGTCACGTAGTTAATTTGGATGAAATCATATTAATCTAACAGTGATCCAGGTCATCACAGACTACTTTATAAACACAGACATATGACTGTGCACAGCAGGTGTGAGGAAAATAGGGAGGAAATGAACGTGGTCACGCAAACTAATGTGAAGACAACGTCAGGTTCCAAGGTGGACCGTCTCATTTCATAGCGGTTTTGAGCAGCCTACCCGGCCCAGTGAAGACGTGGCCCACATGGCCCAGCTAGAGGACCCAGCCCATGAATTGAGACACAGCCAAGGTTTCTGAGGATACAAGAATTCAACTGGAGCACCCCCTGGGACTGCAGGAATTCCACTCAGTCCTCCAAAGCATGCAGGGCCAGAAATCCCCTGGCATCGATGGGCTCAGAGTAGAGTTCTAAAAAGCCTACAGGGACATTATAACAAAAGACCTGCTAGATGTCTAAAATGAGTCTGACCTCTGGCTCGCCCCCACTGCCTTGCCACAGAGCAGTTGTAAGAAAATATAGTTAAGCGTGTTCATTTACCAGTTTATGTGCTTGACACACACTGAGAATGCACCCATGCATAGAAACTAAATGTTAAAGAGTTGCATACAACCAACCACACAAAAAGTGCTCTGACTAAAGACAGTTTATTCAGTCTTCATTCAGCCCCGTTCAGTCATTACCATTTAACATGTGCACCCGGGACATGACTCCACCTATTTTATTACGTCACCAGGAGGGGAGTCCCTAAACCCAGCTGAAATCATGTCCCCAGACAAATTCTATTCTAGCCTAATGAAGATTACCGGCTCATTTATGTGTTGAATCAGTGTTCAGGCATGTATCTACATAAAATCATCAATTTAAGCAACATAATCACATTTAAAAGATGTTACAGTTTCCCTAATAATTATAATACTATACCATGTGTAGGATAATTAAGCTCAGTATATAAACTAACCCCAATAAATTTCTTCAGTCGTCACCCTTTTTCCGAAGAAGGGTAATTTGCAAGACATCAAAAACTGGTGCCCTGTGTCTCTGCACAGATTATAAAATCTTCTCCAAAGGCCCGGCGAACAGGATGAGAGAAGTAGTGGAACAGGTCATCCATCGGGACCAGATTTATTGCGTCCCCAGCAGGTCTATGGTAGATAACATCTACCTAATTTGAGATGTTTTGGAAGTCTTCAGTTCATTGGGTTTGGAAACAGCCTTGATTGCACTAATTTTTTTTGTCCTGTCAGCAGCAAAAGCGAACTGAAAAAAGAGCAAAACTCTCGCTGTGGGCAAGTGACTTGAGGGGCTCCCAGTACTCCCTCAGAATCTTCTGTGGAAAAGAGATGGGTTTTAAATATCTTGGTATTTATCTTGGAGATAAAACTAAAGTGTTAAAAAACTGGGAAAACGTGGAGCAGAAAATAAAAAGTAAACTGGCAAAGTGGAAATGGCTGTATTTTCAAATATATAGAGCTAGTTTTAAACGATCTTGTCGCATCACAGCTGTGATCCCAGCTCTCTGTTTTGATCCACCGCCTGTTTTTGTTTTTAGTCAAAGTTGATGCTTGACAGGTTGTCCACCTGGCTAGCAGAACAGTTACTTTTCACATACAGTTCATTCAGAAAAACTTGTAACTTCTGACATTGTTTGGAGGGATGTGGCCAGTTGCATTTTCAGATGCGTGAATAAGGTGGGGTTAGATGCTGCTCTGTTTTTAACCAATTTTAGATGGCTGAAATTAAAGGGGTTACCTGAATTTTATAAGGGTGTTTTCAAGTCATGTGTAGGGATGGGTACCGAATTTGATACTTTTATGAGTGCCGACCGGATTCTGTCGGTACTACCAAGTATCTATTCACGTAACATCAAACTGTACCATGTTTTGGTACCTAAACACATTATTGCGACCGTATTGGCGTAAGAGTAGTGGGTTTTTCATGCTTGTCCTGAACGCAGCATTGCGCAAGAGCATAATGACGTCAGCAGCCACTGATTTCAGTAGAGTTCGGTGTGGCTTGAAAGCGAGCCTCACAGCTCCTGGAGTGAAACTCACCAAACAGACCACCTCTGAATTATTTGGTGGATTATCTGGTGAGCACAATGTTTACTTGCTCAAAGTAAATAATGTACAGCCACTTTCTTTATTTCATCTGCCATTAAACAGAGGCCGGCAGAAGAAAACAGAGGCGCTTCCCGACACACCGAACGCGTCTGACCTGAAAGAGCACAAGCAGCCAACTTGAAGTGTTGGGCGCATTTTGGATGCTCAAAACGTAGCTTGAATACCATTTATTTATTTAACTCCATCCTCTTGTGCTTATTTGATTTAAACTTATTTGGCTTCCATGGACCCCAACACACAATTTTTCTAGCAGGTAAATGACCTCAATAGAAATACGTGGAGCTGGATTTTAATTTGTGCAATAAGACAAAACAGTCTTGTTGTTTGTTTTCACTTTAAAGAAATTTGTTAAACAACTGATGTTACAATACAAAGAGTTGGATGTTGTCTTTTATTTGTTAAATTTTAAATATTGGGAAATGTGTTGAATTAAATAAAATAATTATCATTAAAAAAAAAAACACAACAGTACCGAAAATTGGTACTGTTAAGTACCGGTACCAGATATTGGTACTGTATCGATTCAAATGTCAAAGGTACCCATCCCTAGTCATGCGCCCTCTTTAAGTTAAAAAGATCACAAATGTCTAACTCTGCATTGGCTGTTAGAACCCTTATATTTGTGGAGTGAGATTGAATGCTTGTGACAATACAATACCAGGACCACAAGAGGTGCTGCACCATTCTGGAACAACTACCATGACAACTAGTGGAAGCATCTGGACCAGGCCTCTCCAATATCAATGCAGTGGGCTCTCTACTGGGGATCCGGTCTGCAAGGCTGGTGCAGAGATTCCTGGGATTGTTGAAGGAGAGTCACGGTAAAAGAGAGGTGCCTCTTGCAAGTGTATGCTTATGGAAAACATCAACCTGACTCAGCAGACACATTTTCCGCAGTACAGCCAGATCCCAAATTCACAGAAAAAAGAAGGCCCCTTTTATGTAGCAAAGACTTCAGGATGATTTTATGCAGCATAGGCCCAAAGGTTGTGTATAACTGTTGTGTGAAGTTAATGAGCAAAACAACCCTTGTAAAAAGGTCTGTCAGCGTATGAGTAGACAAGCTTGGAGGACAAAAGCCCCAGTGGAGGACTATTTACAAACCCCAATAAAAAAACAAACTGGTGATCTTCAGTGGCGGATTCTTCCTGGTGCAGTTGCAACAAATTCATTTTTGTCAATTTTCAGTCCTGGGGTTTTAAATGAATTTTGCAGTTTTTCTGAGTGTCTTTCATGTTTTTACAGATTGTAAGAGATTGACAACCTTTTTTAAAAAACTATTGTTGAATGATTTTAGCCTTTTTGGTGTTTTTACAAGTTTTATATTTATTAAAATACCACAAAATATATTTTTACTACTACAAAAAAGCTAACAAAGCAGTCCCAAGTTTTAAATTTTTTAATAGCTGAAGCAAAAATGGCCATTTATTTATCTCGGAGGGACAGACTTGCAGGGTGGGCCTCAACTTGATGATGTAGCTCTGTGCAGTTGCAGTGTAAAAGTCAGGCTGTGACCAGAATTTGTTTTCATGTAGCCAATGAGACTTTGGAAGACTGTGCAGTTCTGGGGTTTCAAAGGTATTCTGTGTACTGTGTCTGAAAAAGAACCAAGGTACAGCAAGCACCCATAGTAAACATTTTAAAAATGAATGTATCTAATTTAGCTCTTTTTGCATTTTTGAATTGTATTTTATGTATTGTGTAAATGTTTTGTTAAAAATCAAAAAATCTTTTTTCTTTTCCTCCTCCTCCCCCTCAATAGAAGAGTCGGCATGAGTCGCAACCACTCCTGTGGAGAGAACCATGGCATTAGGCCCCCAAACCCTGAACAGTATCTGACTCCTCTGCAGCAGAAGGAAGTGGCCATCAGACACCTGAAGACACAGCTGCTGGAGTCTGAGAGCAAAGTTTGTGACAGGTTTGTGTGGCAATATCACCCCTGTGATTGTAACTTTAGTGTTACATGCTTTTAAGAGAAGCTGATGATTGTGTAAACAAAACTGTAAGGGGTATGTAATGCCTGCAGAAGTTCTGCTAAAGTCTAAAGGGGAGAAGGATGAACTAAGGAAAAAGTTAAGTAAGAAAACATTCAATAATGAATGAATGAATGACTTCTGAAAAATTCAATGCGTGTACATGACAAGAAATCTTATTTAAATGGTAAGTTTAATATTGCACAAGCAGGATTTAGTAACCTGGTAAAAACCAGACCCTTGTCCTTCACTTTGCTTTGTACGAGGTTCTGGACTCAAGGCTATAAAGAAGCAATTCCTGCTGGAGGCGTGGCCTCTACTGAAGTTTAAAATGATTGGATTTGTTGGCCACGACGTATGTCGCTGTGAAGGAGGCTAAGCCAAGAAGCTAACCTGAAATCGCGTATGCTGTAAACCACCCTACTGAGAGGAGAAAAGTATTGAGATGGCTCTAAATGAGCTGCTGCTTTGTCAGACAAATTTATTTTAATTTGGAAGCCTTATCAGCACAGACTGGCTTCATTCACTCCCTCCACTGTCATAGCTAAACTAACTAGCAGACACTGCGCAGAAAATCAACGTTGTTCAAAACTCTGTTTGCTGATTGGCCCAGGTAAAATAAATTACAAGCTGACACTGCGCAAAAAATAAACATTCTGTTCTCTGATTGGCCCGGACGAAAATTCTCCCGATGCAATCCTGGGATTGTGTCCCATGTGTCCACGGGGTCCATGGGAGAAATCCCAGACGAAGCAGTGAAGGGAAACTAGAACTGAGCCGAACTGCATAGGAAGGCAAGGGCCAGGCTAAGGATTTGGTACATTTTATAAAAAAAAATTATGCAAGTATGTTTCTGGAAAGATTTGCCCTTGTTGTAAATTAAATTTATAAAACTTAGACCAGCAGCTTCTTTAAAGGGATCCACGATTAGTTGTAACATTAGAATTTATTTGATAAACATTTATTTTAACTGTAAAATACTGTAAAAATACTGTTGTAGGCTGTTTAGTTTTGTAAATTTGTAAAAATATATTTTAACACGGACGGAGCCATTTTATTTGCATGCAAAACATTCTGGGTAAATGATGACGTGGATAGGTCATCGGTGTGAGCGAGCTATATCCACTCTGAAGGTTAATCTTGGACAATATCTGACGCTCGACTCTTAAATGAAACCAGAGAGCGTTGACAGAGAAGGTAGGAACAACTCCGCCTGCAACTGAAAATGTGGATGGAGAACAACAGAGCTGCTTCATGGAAGAACAACCTCAGCTTAGCCTGTTAGCCTTCACGCTAGCGCCAGTGCTATATTGCCTTATATGTATTAGCTCAGTGCTAGCGCGACAAACTAACAATCTAAACTGAGGTCCTCCATCCATATTTTCAGTTGCAGGCTGAGTCATTTTTGCATTTCCTTCAGTCATGTGGATGGAGGACCTCAGTGGCGAGAGGAGAATGTGTAGCTCTGAGCTAATACATATATGGTGATAGTGTCTGGGATAACGCTAAAGCTAACAGGCTAAGCTGAGGTTCTTCTTCCATGAAGCAGCTCCGTTGTCCTCCATCCACATTTTCAGTTGCAGGCTGAGTCACTTCTACGTTATCCTCTCTGTCAACGCTCTCTGGTTTCATTTAAAAGATAAATCGGGAATAGAGACCAAAGATCCCAGAGGCATTGTCTCAAATTTTGAATAATTAATCTTATAGCCCGAAAAATTGTTAAACAAAGAAATTGTATGCATTAAAGATGAAATAGACCTGTGTGGTTTGGAAAGAAACATTAACAAATCATCTGCATAAAGTGAAATTTTGTGCTCTTTCTGATAGACCGAAATGCCAGATATGTGTGGATTTTGCCTAATTGCTTGCGCTAATGGCTCAACGGCCAAATCAAAGAGTAAAGGACTAAGAGGATCTCCTTGTCGAACTCCACAGCCAAGGGTATAATTACGTGATTTATAGCTGTTGGTAACCACAGAGGCATATGGCGTATTGTGGAGTAGTTTTGTCCAATTAATAAAAGTATGTCCTAGATCAAATCTTTCTAAGACAAAAAAAAGGTATGGCCAGTCAACTCGATCAAACGCTTTTTCAGCGTCTAGGGAGATTACCATAGCTTGATCTTTATGACCATAAAACAGCTGAATAATATTTAGCAATCGTCTCATATTATCAGAGGATTGACGGCCTTTAAGAAAACCCTTCTGATCAAAATTAATCATTTCAGGGAGTACTTTTTCTAACCTTAAAGCCAAGATTTTAGAAAGAAGCTTTTGATCTGAATTAAGCAGAGCGATAGGTCTATAAGAAGCACAGTTTTGCGGATCTTTCCCCTTCTTAAGAATTAGAGCAATTTTAGATTCTCTTAGAGAAAGAGGAAGAATACCAGCAGTGAAGGAGTGGTCGAACATGGCTAACATAGGATCTAACAAAATATTATTAAACTCCTTATAAAACTCTGAACCAAATCCATCAGGACCTGAGGCTTTTCCTGAATGCATAATTTGTAATGCTGAAAAAGCTTCCTCCCTAGAAATAGGGGCATTGAGAATTTTTTTTTCTGGACCTCTGAGATATGTGGAAAAGTTAAACCTGAGAAAAAAGAATGCATCTGAGCCGTGGCATTATCAAGGCAGTTCTGAAGTTAGAATAAAAAGAAGTAAACTCAGCATTAATGGCTCTAGGATTGGAGTGCCTCACTTCGTCAGCGCCTAAGACTGAGACTATAGTCTGAGATGCCGATCTTTTTTAACAAGGTAAGCCAAAGTTTTCCCGGTTTATCTCCAGACTCATATATTTTTTGCCTAGAAAATTGTAAGGAATGTTCAGCTTTAAAAATTAGAAGATTATTCAAGGCAGCTCGTACAGTAGAGAGTTCTTTAAATATGTCAGAATATGGAGCAGACAGATATGTTTTCTCTAATTCAGTCAACTTGCATTGGAGGCAGTTAATACATTCAAGCCTTTGATTTTTGTTATGTGCCATCAAGGGCGTCGAAAACATCAGATGTTGGCGTCTGGTTGCCATCTTGAGAAGAGCTACCAGAGGGTGCTGGGGCATCTTTTTATCTCTGGTTTTCTGTTGTCTGACCATTTTGTCGAATGAATGAGGCCAGAAGTTTTCCAATGACATAACCCCTGCAGGCCCAAAGGAAATCACAATGGAGCTCCCCGTAAAGTGGTTATTTACTTAAATACGGCCATGCAGAGCGGAGCTCAAATTAAAGTTTGGTGTTCAGCTTGCCTACATAACCCCGCCCCCGGACGGGGCCATTTTACTTGCATGCAAAGCATGAGTAAATGATGACGTGGATAGGTCCTCAGTGCAAGGCTGCTAGTAAGCTGTATCCACCTTGAAGGTTAATCTTGGACAATATCTGACGATTGGTTCTTTTAAATGAAACCATATATATATA